GAATGCTGCCGGTAAAAATGCTTATAGACTAATCAAAACTTGGTTCATCCATCCCCACATATTTCTGTACCGTATGAGGATTTGAAATATCTCCTCGTCCAGCCTGCGAAGCCGACCAACTTTGAAGGCTCGGAGGGAGCCAATGTTCATTCAATGGTATGCAATCCGAACCAGAGCATTCGTGAATTCATCCTGGATTGGCACATGCTGCAAAGTGTGATTCTGGTGACTTTCTGGACACGCAGTTGAGAGATCGATTGACTGCTGGTATTAACAGTACTGTTTTGCAAAATGAAATATCAAAGCTATCGAATCCTACGTTCAAAGATGCGCGAGTCCCTGGGCGAACAGTACCAGAATATGCTAGCAGCCTCTTCACTCATGCCACCACCATCGAATCTACAGTCGTGTTTAATTCACTCAAAACCAAATCCACGGACGTTCATGCTACAGCCGGACATCTCAAACCAGCTTCACAATCTTGCTCACACAATGTGACACATTTGGATATGTCCTATGGCAATTGTGTATCCTGCGGCAAAAGTCAATCCATAGTAGCATGTCGATTTCTTTACAATTCGTTTTTTAAGTGTGGCAAAACTGGTCATATTAAGTCTGTGTAGCACTACCGAAACGTGTTTAATTCAATCCAATACGTCAGAGGTGTGTGACATAGGAAAACAATTGTCTTTCTTCCGGTCACATTCGTAAACAACTTTTCAGTTCCTTTGGTAACTCATTTCATTTCATTTCGGACAATAGTGAGGAGTGTGGAGTCTCTAATTTATGTTCATGATTTAAAACTAGCTGCTTCCGACGCCAAATGTTGTATCATGAATAGTATTTGAAATGGAGTTCCGGAATTCGCGCAGTCCCGATCTGCGAAACAGGAAAACCTCGAATCGAGTAGTACACGTACATCATTAGAATCGTGTACTATGCATTTTCAATGCGTTTCAAGCGTACAATGAATTTGTCGAGGTCAGTGTCATGCATCGCAATGAATTACTGTTTATCCCTGTTCGTGATAACTCAACTGAATTCCAGTATGAGGTGAAAATATAT